TAAAAAACGTACTTACAGGCTGTGAGTCAGAAGCGCCAGACTGTCCTTGCAAAGTTGGAACTTCCCCACTTTATAGAAACAGCCTTTGTGCCACAGACACATTAGGCTACTGGTTCAGGAAGCAGTCCTCATCCATCCTCTATAAATTTGCAGCACACATCTGAATATTTGGGTTGAACTGTTCTGGAACAGTGTTGTAAATACAACTTAACCACTGATTTCTAGTCGTGTCCTCTTTTGGAAGGCCAAACAAAGTAGTTTCGCTTTCACAACGAAACACACAGCGACTCCACAACATGGCAGCGGCGGCAACAGCGAGAATAAAAGTTACGCCTTCTTTCTTTGCGTGAACATTTGGGCGGCGTTATGCAAATCTTCCCACATCGTGACGTAGACATGTGGGGGCGTGTTAGAATGAGCCGTTTTAGGAGGGTGTGGTTGACTCTTAACTTTTATAAAGAATATCTCTTTGGATTTGAGACTTTAGTCTTTGCAACTTGACAGATCTTCTTTATGCACCAAGAGCTTGTAACACTCCAAAGAGAAAGGAAAAATTGAAATCGCATCATATGACCCCTTTAATAAATTGGCATATTGAAGTATCTGATATGCTAAGTGGTTCTCTGCCAGTTTATCGGCAAGCACCTTAGAGGAACATTTACTTTGCCATAAGCTTTCACACACAAGTACAGGTAATGTGCGAATAAGACCGCTGGTTTGCTGACTGGCAGTGTTTTCCAAACAAGGGGAACAAATATGAGCTGTCACTACATGAGATGACAAGCTTGAGAAATGCGGATAATGATAGTGGTGGGAGGTGAGCACCGGCTCCTATAAAAAGCTTCTGCTCTAGTGGGTTGACAAACGTAAGCTTGTTACTGGTGAGAATCAGTGTGTGATGGGAGTGTAAGCTATTGCTATTGCCACCAGTCAAGCTGAGGCGTGATCTACAGAGCACTTCAACAGCCAAGGAGGAATTTTTTGGACAGCACTCTTCAAATTCTGGTTCGTGTTTATACAGTGCAAATCGTTCAAAACCAACTGACTATTGGGTTAAATTAGTACATACATCTACAGGTTATGATGTTTTTCATTTTATTTCGGTAAGATCAGCTCTATGGTGTGGTCACAGTTTTGCAAAAACAAGTAGTAAGTATTACAAGCCAGAGGTAAAAAGGAATTTAGTATCTTTGGCAGATATAAGCATGGAAGAGAGACAATGAAAATGAGCAAAGGATGCATCAAGCAGAACATGGAGCCAATAAACGTGCTGGTGTCCCGATGCCTTGCTCCTGCTGGCTGGACTAGGCTACTCCCATTGGCCCAAGTGGAACCATCTGTCCCCTTGCAAGGGGGCCTTCCTTGACAGGAGGACATGACATCACGACATGCCAAGAGCAGGTTGTGAGCACCGCCCGGCTACAGAGGGTTTGTGCGGCGAAAATCACAAATGCAATCGAGGGAGGAGAGATTTGTCATATATGGTTACTGAAACAGCTCAACCCGTCCCTCAAAGTGTCAGTAATGTCTTGAATGAATGAATAATAAGGAATGAATAAAAGGAGGTATATATACAGTATATATATATATATATATATATATATATACAGTGGGTACGGAAAGTATTCAGACCCCCTTCAATTTTTCGCTCTGTTATATTGCAGCCATTTGCTAAAATAGTGTTTTGTTGGTTGGAGTGAAGTTTTAATTGCAGTTTTACGGTCACACTTTATTTTAAGGTCCAATTCTCGCTATTAACGAACCATTAACTATGACTTTTGCTTCAAACTCCTAATTTTCTGCTTATTATTAGTTAGTAAGGTAGTTGTTAAGTTTAGGTATTGGGTAGAATTAGGGATGTATGATATGGACATGCAGAATATGTGCTTTATAAGTACTGTACTAATAAACAGCCAATATGTTAATTATAGGCATGCTAATAAGCAACTAGTTAATGGTGAGAATTGCTCCCTATACTTAAGTGTTACCAGTTTTATTATAAATACGACTGTGATGGGAAAAAAGAGACCAAAGTGAGACAAGAAGAGCAAAGGAACATATGAAAGAAAGAGATGTGTGATTCTGGCAAATCAATAACTCCTTCACTCGTAAACATCTGCACCTGGTCTCTTGCAATAGTTGCAAATCTACTCAAAACCTCAACAGCAACTGGGCCAACACCGTCTGATCTTTTAATTAAATATTTCCACACCTTTAGGGTGACGACTGACAGTCATGTTAAATATCGCTCTTAACAAAAGGTTTAACAAGTTTTTTTCTCAACTTCACGAAGAAGTGACAAGGCCTATGTGTATATTGAAGATTTCTAGAGAGAGATCATGGGAAAATTAACATCTGCCTATCTGGGAGAGGCAAGCTCGAGCAGCTCTCATAACACCGGATGTGGGTGCTCTAAGTGTTGATGGCAGGAGAATCTATTAGATAACAGGAAAGTGAGAAACGTATGGGAGGAAATGGAAATGCCAAATAAGACCAAAGAATGGAAACCAAGGAAAAAGAACAGCTCTAGTTTAAAAAGTTCCAAAGAGCAAAACTGGCTGAAGTTTCTGCAGAGAATGAACTATTAAAGGATGTTCACTCTGGCAGGTGACAAGAAATGACAAGCTTCAACCAAAGAAAACAAAAAAGTACCTTTGGTGTACAACAGATTGTCACTCGGGCAGTACTCTCAAAAGTGCACCTCTGTGCCTTTTCCAGCCCTAAAAGCTGCATATTAGTACCATTTAATAGAGTATCATTATTTCAGGCTTTGCAGGGTTAATAACAAGTTAGTATTTTTATAATATAACAGAAAAGAATGTTAAATATGTAGTAGTAGCCTAGCTTTGAAGAATGCACATGTACAAAGAAAACAAATGTTTCAAACAGATTAAAGTGCAAAAGAACGCAACTACAAAATTCTTTGGTGTTGTTTAATAAACACCGTAGCGAATACAAAAATCGGAATGAACATTTGAAAACATGCAAAAACTGTTTGACTTCCTTTTTTCTCCTTGATGAGCTTGTCAGAAACAAAGTAGTGTCTTTACAGGTAACCCTGGAAGGTCTAGGCCCAAAATCTGCAGCAATTTAGAAAAATTGCAAGCTCTTCTGAATATTGCAGAGTTTGCTTGATTTTGCATTCAATTCTACGATCGCAGAATTGCAAAATCCTGGGGGGACTGATTAAGGTACAGATGTGACCCTCTGAGAATACTTCCACAGTAACAAGCCGCTGTACCCATAAGGGTACACATTTGCACAATTTTTCCTCACAGTGAAACGACCAGATACCATTCATTTTCCATGAGAGTTGGTGATTTCTGGCACCATGAGTGGAAGAGACCACTGGCAAAGCAACAGAAAAGCTTGACATTATGCAAATGAGCAGTTATACAAATGAGAGTGCAGATAGTGGATATTGTAGCTCATAGATCAGCGATTTAATCAGCATCAGCGTGAACGCAACTTTACCAGGAAAGTCAGTAAACCAGGGGCGCCCAATCCTGTTCCTGGAGATCAACATTCCTGCAGAGTTCAGATCCAACTCTGCTCCAACGTGCCTGTCTGTAATTATAGCGTGTTTCTGAAGATCTTAATTAGCTGGTTCAGATGTGTTTCTGATGTGTTCAGATTATGTAAGTAGCCAACCTTGCTCCTAAAGGGCCACCTTCATGCAGACTTTAGCTCCAACCCTGCTCCAAACACAACTGCCTGTTATTTTTAAGTAACCATCTCAATTACCTGGTTTATGTTTGTTTGAATATCACTGAAGCTAAACTTTGCAGGAAAGTGGTCCTCCATGAGCAGGATTAGCAACCCCTGTCCTAGAGAATGTGTAACTATAATTAAACCAGATGCAAAATATTCAAGCTGCACCAATTACTATTGCCCTTACCTCATACTCCTGGGAAAATCGGAGGGCATCGTTGGCCTTGAGTCGCTCTATGTGGTCTGCCAGCTCGCAGACAGATATAGGAGGATGTTCCCTCATTCCTACAAGAGAAAATAAGACAATGAGAATTGGTGAGCACATCCCAGAGTATCACACCTGATGCACTGTACCGTTACAGCGGGGAGTGAGTCTGTCAGTTTTGAGTTGAGGAGAGCACGACATAAATAGGTTCTTCTTGCACCTTGATGTGACATGATCCCTCTGCGAGATTTGCGCTGACATATGTTGTGTCCGCTTACGTCTATCCCCCAAACATGCTCTGGATTTCTTGTCCGGGGGGGTCAACTTACTGCCAAAGCACATTTCCCTGTCAGCGCCTGTGAACGTATCAAGGCTACATGCTCAGCTGGATCTGAGGAAATGTTCAGCTTGTGTGTTATTTGATAAGGAAAGGTGTGTGTGTGTGTGTGTGTGTGTGTGGGGGGG